AGAGAAGGGGGGAGGTGGGGAGAGGGAAAGATGGGTACAGAGATTGACAGAGACACGAGAAAAGGGGAAAAGAGAAAGGTAAAGAGAGAGGGAAAGAAAAAAAGGCAGACAAAGAGGGACAGATAAAGTACGAGAGAGAAAGAAAGAGAGAGAAAGAGAGAGAGAGAAAGAGAGAGAGAGAGACAGAGAGAGAGACAGAGAGAGACAGAGAGAGGCGGGGGTTGATGGCCGGAGTGGAGTGAAGATGTGGCCGATGTTGAGAGTATCAGAAACAATTACCAATGCTCTTCACCAGAGTGAATCTAATATCTTTATAATAAACACTTTAAATATTAATAGATAGCATTTGTATAGCGCAAATCCCCGCTCAACAGCTAGCTCTATGCGCTTCACAATCTATACTATACTATTACCCCCAGCAGACCTGAGAGCATTTCGAAACAACCTCAACTTCCTGGGAAGCATACAGTGCAAGCAGCCATTTATAGGTGCTAAAACACTAACATACTGACAAGATCGTTCGCTGTCTATGGCGGGATACCCATTCCCACTTGGGTGAAGTGAGGAAAATTCGTGTAAAGTGCCTTTCCCACGGACACAACGTCGGGCCCGCGGCTCGAACCCCCGACCCGCAACCTCACAATTACGAGTCCGGTAGCCTAACCACTAGGCCACCGACGCCAAGTACTTACGTACTTAGAAAATCCTGAACGTATTCGTATATCAAAGTATTATAATATTGTTTTCAGTATTTTCTGCATGTATCGCAGTTAGTTGATTTCTCCATGTTATTCTACAGCTGATTTATACATATATAGATTTCCCGGGCTTGCAGCAGATTAGTCCGAGGAAAGGTTGATTGATGTGTTTTTAATGTTTATGTAGGACACAAAAATTAAATGTCAAAACCATATTAATGAGAGCTTCCCTGCTTGTTTGTTTATGTTCGCATGTTGATCTTTACTGTTGTAGTTGTTATTGTTGTTCTTGTTGCTGTTGCCATTGTTGTTGTTGTTGTTGTTGTTGTTGTTGTTGTTGTTGTTGTTGTTGTTGTTGTTGTTTCTTTTTGCAATGTATTCTCGTCCACAAGGGAGGATCAAATGTTTAAATGCTCAAATAAAATTTTGTTTGAGAAGGGGTAGTTTTTGTAGGGTTAGATTATAAACAAAGCGAAGAGAAAGAATTCTGATTCCAGTCTGATTCCTGTTTGAGGCCTGTTTTATTCTTGTTTGTAAAACTCATTACGAGCATGAATGTGTCCTCTTGGGGGAATGAAGTTTAATATGTACTATCTGCCCTTCTCTCAACGCCAACTGGAAAACAAAAAATGTTATACGTAACCACCGACAAAATTTCAGATAAAAGTAAACCCAAACTCTTTAAGTCTCACAGAGGTATCCTTATGATATTATGTTTTACAATTATAGCCTTTATCAGTATCGCGCATACAGACATTAGAATCTAACGGCACAAATGTAACGCTAGAAGATATTGGGTACGGATTTGGCAGTTTTATAAGATATCTCTCCCCTATCAAGAAATTCCTACAAGGCCCATTACATTTTTGTTTACGTCTGCGGGTTTTTTTGTTTTTTTAAATCACAATCTATAAAGAGTTTTGCAAATATTTTGTCACACAATTTTTCATTTCAATTTTTGTAAATGCACGTTGAAGGAGCTATCACTTTTTAATATCATCTTAAACGTTTTATCAAGGCCGAATATTTCAAGGAAATGATGTTATCCTTCAGCTGAGATGTTGCAGCCGCTAAGAATATTATTGCTTAACATGTGTGTTTCGTGTTCAGAAAGGGGTTTTGAAAGTTATTTGTACAGTTAATATTTCTCATGAACGAGAAATGTATGATTTTTTTGGTTGGATTTTGTCATTAAACAAATGGGCATACATTTATTAAAGTGAACTTATGCAAGCTGAAATAATTTCCAATTTAAAGCAAAACGCAGTCAAAATTGTCAAGACGAACACTCAATGTCGAGGAGAAAAGTGGTCGTCTTAGAGAGGTGAAATCTTTGGACAGTGTCATTATAATATTTTATTTGTGAAAAAACGTTATTAGGGACTGGGAGGTTGCCATTTGTATATGTCTTGGACAGGTGGCTGTTAGAACAGTTTCGACTGTATGAATACCATTGAAATTTGAACTGTAACATTTAATTGTCTTGCTTTTCCCACTCATATTGTTCAATAGTCCGTCACCGTTCTTATTTTCTGTTCAAAGCAAAACCCCAACCCTCTCGTAGGTCATGCCAATCTCTGAATGAGATGTAAGCCTAGAGCATTCAGCTACCCATTCTCCGTTCGCAACGCTGAGCATAAGAAGGAATTCAAAGTAGATTTACAAAACACCCAGCACTTATACGGCTGTTTGTATATCAGTGACGTATGAAGAAAGTGGGAAAGAGAGAGAGAGAGAGAGAGAGGGGGGGGGTAGGGGGAGACTGCCTGAGGGGGAGTCCAGGTGTAGTGGTGAAGATTGTGAGAATACTTCCCTCCTACCCTCCCCTCCACACACACATACACCCTCCCAACCCACAGTCTCCACCTGGCTTTACGAGATACCCATTCACTCTTGTTTTACCAGCTCTCCGAAACTCTCGGCCTCTTCTACTTCTTGCCCTCGGCTGTTATCCTCCACCTACACTCCTTTCGTCCTGACACGAGATCACAGAGAGGTGGTCCTCCACCAGGTGTTTCCCCAAAGTTCTGGAAGAATTTGGCCCTTCTGGATGCTGCTAGCGACGTACTCTTATAAGAAATCTCAGGGATCGCGCAACGAATCAAACTCATGGGGAGGCGCTCTGGTGCAAGTTTCTGTTTGTATTGACTGACAACAATACAGTAGCATACTATTACTAGAGGCGTAGTTGAGCTTATTACCTAGGTCCACTTTCAGGGTGTGTAGCTGGAGGCTAGAAATCTATAGATTTAGTGTGTTTTTTGTCCGGCATCATGGGACTTATTTCACAGAGCTAGGCACATTGACATTCGAAGATTATACGCTCCTGACTATTCTGATCGATTTATCCATTATACGCCTTACGTTTGTTCGATATTGGTTTGTGCATTCAGTGTGTTTGTATACAGCCATTGCACGCAAAAGTTAATCTCCTGAAGGAAAATATTTTGCCGAGATCTACGGATTAAATGCATTTACAATGTAGAATAGAAGTAAATGCAATTCACCGTGTTCTCCGTTACACATGTTGTTTGTTTGTTTTTGTTTTTTTTTGGGGGGGGAGGGGGTATTTCTCACTTGTTATCATCACTTTAACTCTGGACTAAGGTGCCTTGGATCCTAGTTCAAAACTCAAGATTGTTCAGTTTAGGAGTAATAGGAGGAATTGAGAAGTCGTGTTATTTATCGGGTTAGATCTTCTTGTAGATGCTAAAGAGACCTTCCTCAAGGCGATGATGGGGGAGCGTTCGGTGTCACTTATGGCAAAAACGATAGACGGAATAAAAGCACCACGTTGACAAGTATTTTTTTTCCTTACTTGGTACCGAACGTACAGTAGGGACAGGAAATAAAACATGGATGAAAATAATAATGTTCTTCCAACCTCCAAAGCCTGCGTAAAATATTTTAGTTGTCCATCTATTTTGAAGTGAAGCAAGAGACATTTTGACTGCTGCGCTAAAAGGAGGTCATGAGCAGCAATGAATGTATCATACTCTAAGACGCATAATCGTTGGACGACCAAACGAGTAGGAGAAGGGGTTTAGGATCTCCGTTGTTTCCCTAAAGATGTCTGGCGCTCGAAAGCGAATTCAGTACTGCATCCATTCTGACTCTAGCTGATAGGTCTAGTCTCTTTACTCGGGCTATTGCACAGTACGAGTATGTAAACGGTATTTTAAAAAAATTCACTTTAAAGTAACCTATACGTGTAAACAGACTGTTTCTGTTTTGATCTCGTTTTTTTCTCTTAAGTAGGCAGAAGTTTTGTTTTGGTCTTTGTTTTTGGAGGGAAAGGTATGAGAGGGTAAGTGGTAGGAGGGAGGGAGAGACTTACCTAGAATGACACTTTTATCCACGTCAAACCGGCAAATCCCGATGGAAGGATCCGTATGGCAGTCATAGCGGTCTAGCGTAATCTCCCAGTAGTGAACGCCTTTGCTGAAACCTACGCTGCCGATAGCGACTCTGTGCTCGAAGTTGTTACAGGTGATGGTGCTGCTGTTGTTGGTCAAGAGTACATCCGAGTGAGTCATGGACGGGTCAAAGGTGAACCAGGCAACTGTGAGAAAAGAAACAAAAGCCCAGGGTAAATATAAATTCAAGATTTTCTGTAGAAAAAGCCTCCTCCCTCCCCCATGGCATTACTCCAAATCCAAAATGGTGGCCACAGAAACCAACTTTTTCGTTAAAGTCCATCCCACCCTCATTCATTCAAATTCAATCATTTTATCTAAAATTAGCGTGTACATCTTTCGAAAATTTGATAGAAAGTTCCATACTGCAACAGTAATCCTTGTATCATATACATCACCCGTACAGGTATGAATGTCTTTCGCGTATGACGTCACAGCTTCCACCTGGAAGAGTGGAGACTTCGGATGAGCGTAGTGGGTCAAGTAGGCTTTGAATGAAAGACTCCAGTAGACTTCGCTTTAACTTTTAGCATCAGGGAGAGAGAGAGAGAGAGAGAGAGAGAGAGAGAGAGAGAGAGAGAGAGAGAGAGAGAGAGAGAGAGAGAGAGAGAGAGTCTTACGTGCAGTACGAAAACAATTTGTGGGCTACGCATCATTTAAAAAATACATGTCATTAGTTTGAAATAGCAAGTGCAGTACACATCATCTGACTTACGTTACCTGCATAATTTGCACAGCTTTTCATTTCAGTTCTTCTTCTTATTTAATGTATTCCTTTATCCAATGTTCAGTCTCCTTATATGCTTATAATTTTTTCTCCCCGCCCCCTCTCCCTCTGCGTCCCTCTCCCCCTCCCCCTCTCTCTCTATCTCCATCTCTCACACCTTCTCTATCTCCCTCTCCTATTTCTCTCTGTCTCTCTGATGACCCCCCCCCCACCCCCTCGGTGGCCAAGTGGTTAGGTTCTCGGAATCGCAACTGTAAGGACGTGAGTTCGAATTCATTCAGAGGCCTGATGTTGGTTCCTTGGGAAATGCAATAATTTATATGAATTTATTCACTTCCCTCAGATGAGAATTGGTACCCAGCTATAGACAGCGAAAGATCTTGTCAGTTTGTTAGTGTTTGAGCGCTCGCTTGTACTGTATTCTTCCCGATAAGCCGATAATGTTTCTGAGTATTATATGGTCTGCTGGGTTAATAATGTAGTGTAAAGCGCATAGAGCTTTCCGTCGAGTGGGGGTATACGTTTTGCAAATGTTATTTATTATTTATTATTATTGTTTTACATCTATATCTATCTATCTATCTATCTATCTATCTATCTATCTATCTATCTATCTATCTATCTATCTATCTATCTATCTATCTATCTATCTATCTATCTATATATATGTGTATATATATATATATATATATATATATATATATATATATATATATATATATATAAGTTAATTGTGTTTTTGTGTATGTTTATGCGTCTGTGCGTGTATGTTTATCTCCCATAGTGCTCTTAAAGTTACAGTTTTAATCTCACATCTACAATTAATCCAGTCCCAGCGCAATACGGCAATCCTTTCGCACCGTTAACGAGGTCGTTGCACAACATTACAGTTTCCATTCTTTTAACTCAGCAAACACCATGAAAGACAAAGAGCTGAGCTTTTTAAAAAAAAAAGCATTTCCAGACGGAAGACCGGGACAAAAGTCAGACATCTAAATGTGTCTGGAAAGGATAGAGAGGTCTGGGAAACATCATAACACGAGCCAGTAATTACATGGAGACTATTTGAAATGAACTGGTTCATTAATGTCTATCTTTGATCATAAAGCCTGTGGTTTGATTTCCCCTCCCCCACCCCTACCTTTTACTGAAATAACAACTCAGAATGAATACAAATATGTTATAAAAGCAGAGTACGTGTGTGAGTGTGTGTGTGTGTGTGTGTGTGTGTGTGTGTGCGTGTGGATGTGCGTGTGTGAGTGTTTGTGTGTGTGTGTGTGTGTGTGTGTGTTTGTGTGTGTGTGTGTGTGTGAGAGAGAGAGAGAGAGAGAGAGAGAGAGAGAGAGAGAGAGAGAGAGAGAGAAACAGACAGACAGACAGACATCTAAACAGAAACAAAGACAGATAGAGAGGAGGGGAGGGAGGGGCAAGGAATATATAGATAAAAATGCCCGAAAAAAAAGACAGGGACACACTGTGAGGAATGTGCAGTTTGTAATCATTGCTCACCCATGTTGAACAAGACTAACATAATGGCGAGCTCTAACCCTCGAGGCATTCTTTCTGCTGCAGCTGCAGCTGAGAATCTGTCTACGTGAAAATGCTCTAAGAATGTAAAGAAAATCATTAGAAAGGTGAAAACATCGAAGACATCCTTTAACTCTACCTTTTTTCTGTTCTAGGTATTTACATGGATAGTTTCCAGCGGATAAAAGATAAAAACTGGGGTGGGTTTTGTGGTAAGAAAACTGAACCAAATTAAGTATATTTATGTTTTAAATCGTTGTTCCAGTAAAAGAGTTATTTGAACTTAAACAGACGTGCCAGTTTTACGCCCCTATTTATTTAGAAGAAAAAATATATGTAAAATATAAGAACGGATAAGAAATATCGGCAAAGATGGCACTGTTCACTGAAACAATAGATTTATTTTACTTAACAATCCCCCTCCCCCCTTTTTTTTTCTTAAAATCCTTTCCGCATACTTACCCACCCAACCCCTCTCCCCGTATTTGGTTTGCACTGGTACCTAAGATCATACAACAATATTTAAAAATAAAGCGTCTCTCAATCAGTCACCAATCAGTCATTGTGGCGAGTTTTTCTACAAGATACTAGTTTATGTGTACCGAACGAATTCTACCGGAAAGGAAAAGACAAAGGAACCACGCCACGTTACGGTGATCATCTTTCCTAATGTGAGTTTTTTTACACCCCAATTGACGCAGATTAGATCGTGTAGCTGGTGGGTTTCGCGACCCTGAACGCTGAAAGGGATACAATGTGCCAGCAGAAAGATTGAGATACATCCTACACTTGGATCAAACTAAGGTCTTCTGCATGCAATGACGAAGCATCGGAGAAGGTAAAAATCCCTGAATCAAGTTTGATGACAACTCTACACGAATCCAAGCTGAACTGTTCGAAACATGCGATGTCTTTACTAGTTCTAGTGACTTGCTCTTGCAGCTGCATAGAGTTATGTTAATTAACAACATGCGCACATTTGTGAGAGGCATTATTTTAAAGTACATACATGTAATTTCACGAGGCTAAACTTCGATAGTAATCAGGGCTTGTGGTGTAGTGGTAAGACGCTTTACAGTAACACACAAGAGACAAGAGTTCTATTCATGAGTTGGAAGGATATTGTTATCAAATACCTCGGTCTTTCTGATAGGATGTTGCATTCCTCTCAGCATGGGTTAGCCCTGACAGGCAGGGTCAGAAGCCCGCTTCCTAAGTTATCACGAATAGTGTTGATGGAAGAACAAAACACAACTGCATAAAAAAACAACCCAAAGACGTCAATATTATGTCATTTTTTCAGTCTCAAACATAACATTTAGTCAATCAACACCCACCCCCCTTTCCACATACACACTTCCTGCCCCCCCCCCCCCATCCGGTCTCCGCCCCTTTCTTGTTTTCCATACAACATACATGACGTGTATTTCGTTTGACATTTCCAAACTTTAAAATACCGTCAGTTTGTATTTGCCCTCAATACTTGTAGCACATACCAGGTTTTTGTTATGTTTAAGTTGGGATGTTTGCTAAATGCCTACATGGAGAAGATGTTTTTTATGTTTTGTTTTATTTGTTTTTTAATACTCGTAGATAGTTCCGTATAACCTGAAGGTGAATGCTCTCTACTAAACGTTAATGTATAAAATTCCGAGATTCAACTTACGTGTCAGATTCCTATCTCGTGTATGCGGAGAACTTCAAAGAAAATAAGAATGTCTTTTTACTGTTAGCACCCTGCTTCAGCTGTCACATACTGCACGCATCCTCTCCAGGTGGGCCCACATTGTTACAAGTCCTCACTGTCTAGCTACAAGCTAAAGCTACTACCTCTAAGATATACCTACAAGCATTTCAGATTCCTCTACACCCCACACAACCATGGCTGCCCCCTGTGCTACGACTGTGTCTGACCTTTGTACTCATTTTGTAACATTAATCACTGTTTGTTTTTTATTTGTGTTTTATTTTGGGGTTATTTTTAAATTTAATGTTTAAACAAAAATATATTCACCATAGCATTTACGTCGTACATTTAACTCTTTTGTTTGTTCGTTGGTGTTTTTTTTAATGCTGTTGGTGGTTGTAGTGTTGTGGTGGTGGTTATTTTTCTCAACTTACGACAAAAGAAGACGAATTATATAGATAAAGTTTTAGAAAGTTGAAAGCATTGATGCAGAAATCAAACAGCCATACTGACATACTGACAACCTGGCTGATTGACAGACAAACAGTAAGGATGAAAGGCAGACATACTTGATAGGATATATGGTGTAGCTATTATTGGGTTACAGTTGGAGTTAGGCACAGAGACAATTAATGTCATTTTATACTCAAAACATTACAATTGAAGCAGATCAATAAAGTGCTGCTTACCTAATGCACGAGCTTAATATGTGTGTATAGTGTTACAAGACAACACAGTGAATAGGTGGTAAGTCTTCTCTGGCGCACAATAATGCCTAGCGTACGTTGGTTTCACGGTGTTTAGATGAGTGGTCACTGGAGTGTGTGATTGAGCAAGACACGATAACCCTTACTCAAAAACCAGTGCACTACACAGTGGCGACAAGCAATGATGTGCAAATTGTCTATGTTTGTGATATTGTGAATCATTCCTGTATGCATATACATTGGTTTATGTTTGGGTAGAATTGTGTATTTTTGTACGCCTTTGTAAAGTAAATTATGTAATGATTCATTTTGTGTATTTATTATTGACACCCTGTATTATAAATTTTCCAAGGGGTCAAAAAAGTGAAATGTATTTTTCTATCTTATTTCAAACCTCTATATTTAGGTTTTGGGTCATATCTCGCCATATGTCGGCATAATAATGTTTCCCCTTTCCTTATGTCCAACTGCCTCCTCCTCACCCCCCCTTATCTCTCTCTCTCTCCTTCTCTCTTTCTCTCTTTCTATCTCTCTCTCTCTCCCTCTCTCTCTCTCTCCCTCTCTTTCTCTCTCTCTCCCTCCCTCCTGCAGTCTCCCCACACTCAGCGTCTGGTACCCTTCATAACTCCCTTCAC